GACACATTCCCATAATCACATATAGCAAATACTATGGCGGAATTAATTTGTACCAGGAAACGTTTTTTTGTTATCATCCATCCGCGTTTCGTCCACGCGCTTGCATCTTCAAGTTCTTCCTCCAGTTATTTTAACGTTATACGTAAAACATCACGTTAACGCAACCCAAACAGATTTATATAAGTGTTCGAGTCGCTCTGCTGTTCACCGCTGTTATTGACCTTTAACTAGATATACTCGTCTCCCACTTTTGAAAAAAAAAAAAAAAAACTGATTGTATTCCATCCAACGAACAAAATTATAAATAGTGACATGAGGTTTAGTCCGGGCACCACAGTCTAGACTATTTACTTAGTACATCCACTGCGAGCTTTTAACCGTAAAGTTCTAATTCAAAGATGTTGCTTGTTGTGGTGCGTTCTGTATGATGCTGCCGACGTACTATTGCATTGTGCGATTATGATGAAAATGATCGATGCGAACTCATTTTGACAGAGAACTATGCCTTAGTGTATGTTACATCAAGCAGGCAAAGGGTGGTGTGTATTTGAGAGTGAAGAAAGAAGTGCTCCTTTTATTAAGCAGATGACGACTCGTTCATATTCAGCTGCGGACATGATGATGACAAAATCATGGCTCAAAAATGCATTTCCCGGTGCCTACTTTCCTAGTATTTTGGAGTCCCTCCAGCACCAATGATGTTCTCGCGGAGTCGCTGGATCCGATCCATCTCCTCCTCGAATTTCCGCGCAGATCTGGCATCTTTTCAAGCCTTTGTTCCGGAGGTGAGTTTTTTTTTCAGACACTGCCCGAGCTTGTTCATGAATCTTTCTTTTTCAATCTGTTCGGTTTCTGCTGCCACGAGACGCAAAAGCCGTTCACGGTCCATTTGAACTCCATCGACGGTGTCAAGCGTCTCGCCATTCTTGATCAAAACGTTGGGAAAGTTAGTGGCAGCGAGAGTAGTGCCACTGGCGTGGAGAGTTGTCGCGACAATAACAGTGAGGATGTAGGTAAAGCGCATGCAGTTCTTGATATAGTTTTTCGCGGTGGGTGATCGCACGGGGAGTTGGTGGAGTTGTTCGTTGTCGAGAAAAATAGCGGAACGAGAATTGAGCTATTAATTAATTTCACAGTTGAGGATACAATGTCTTATGCTACAGTATTTTTTCATAAAGTCAGCAGGCTTGAGCATTCAGTAATACCTGTAGTAAAATATGCCTGCTGAATTTCCTTGTCGCGTAGTCAAGACAGCAAATACGTTGACCTTGGGGCAGCTTCGTATGCACTATCGTATGTATGAGATAATAATAATAATAATAATAATAATAATAATAAGCTGGGACATACTCAGAACATCTAAGGTGGGGGTTTATTGCCATAGCAAATTCGGGGCGATTATCGCAGTAAAACAAAGAGCATTCTAGCATTGCGCTCCGAGTAAGCAGATCGATACATTTCCTAACGTTACATTTGCTTGTATTTGTGAGCCTTATGACCATGCTAGCACCGAGTTCGATCGCATTCTTCTTGTGTTTGTAAATCTTAGGACATGCTTGAAATTCTACGTTGATCCC